AACCCAGGGGGAAGGAGGAATCAAGCTGCTCCTGACTGTTAGTTTTCAACTCTTATTGTTTTAACTTTGAAAGACATATCTGGATCATAGCCATCATTTTCCATTACTTCATTTAGTCCTTGTTATTTTGACAGTCATCAGACAGTGATTTGCTTTACCATGCATCACTTGCATTTGTCTCCTGCAATCATGTTTGTAACAACAGGGCTTATTATTGATGAGGTAGTACCTAGTTTGCAAATGTCAGAGTTTTCTGTGGTGATTTATTTAGGAAGCTGTAAAGGTCACTTCAAACACTGCTATTTTAAGAATTAGCCTTATAATTAAAAAAAAAATAAATCTTTTATATTAAAATTAAAACTATAATTTTCTGCAATTAGAAAATCTTATGTTTAATCTACTTAAAAATACAGTCCTTCTAGCTTGAGCCGGTGAAGTTCTTATTAAAGTTCACTTGGAAGAATGTTGCTTTATTCCTCCATCGTTTATGAAGCACCTACTCTGTGCAAGATACTTTCTAGGTGCTGGTATAGATTGGGAAACATACTAAGCCTTGCCTCTGCCCTCCTGGATCATGGTCTCATGGACGAGACAGAAGAATTCCACCATATTATGAAAGTACAAATGTGGTACATGGGTGCTATCAAAAAAGCGCACTTAAATATGAACCTAATAGAGTCTTCAGGGAAGGAACATTTGATCTCAGATATGAATAAGAATTTGAAAAATAAGAAAGTGGCTTGGTAGTGCATTTCAGGCAGAGAGAAAAACATCTGTGGAAACTCTGAGGAAGGGACCTGATGTTTTGGTGGGCCAAAAGAAGAGCAAGGTGCTAAAAGCACAGAGAACAAGTGAAGCAAGACTGATGTTACAAGCAAGACTGGGTTCACACAGGGCTCCCAAGTTGCCCCAAGGATTTGCATTTTTGCCATTGACTGATTTCAAGTACAGGAGTGATCAGATTCACATGTTCTGATGATCCTTTTGGCATTAATGTGAGAAACAGATCGGAGTGGGGCTGTCATTGGAATTTTCTGTGAGGATGAAAGTGTTCTGTATCTTCCCTATTCAGAAGTGCAGTAGCCAAGGACCACATGTAGCTATTCAGCACTAGTGTGACTGAAGACTGAATTTTTTATTTTGTTTAATTTTAATTAATTAAAAACTCGGTAGCCACATGCATCAGAGTGAGTGCTGGAGACCAGATACTAGCAAACTCTGAGGCAAGAGATAGTCTCACCTTAGGCTAGGATTATATTGGTGAGGACAGAGAGGAGTGGGTAGATGCAAGAGGCATTTAGGAAGTAAAATTATAATAGATTTTGCCTGTTGACCAAGAAAACAAGAAGAGGAACAATACAGAATACCTACTTGATTTCTGGTGTAAGCAGTTGGGGATATGGTGGTACCATTTACTGAGCTAGGGATCAGAGCAGAAGAGGTTGAGAAGGAAAGGAGAATGAATTCAGTTTTTAACCTATTTAATTTTTGATGTCCCTGTAGACATTCAAGTGGAGGTATTGGGTAGGCATCAAGATAAAAATGGTTGTTAACTATAGATACTGATGTACTTTTGTATAACTAAGTGAACAAATAAAGAAGCCCTGGTGGCGCAGTGCTTAAGTGCACAGCTGCTAAGCAAAAGGTCAGCAGTTCAAAACTATCATTCCACTCCATGAGAGAAAGATGAGGCAGTCTGCTCCCATAAAGACTTATAACTTTGGGAGCCCTATGGCACAGTTCTACTCTGTCCTACAGGGTCATTATGAGTCAAAATTGACTCAACGGCAATGGGTTATTGGTTTTGTTGGTTGGTTTGCTTGTTTTAAGTACATAATTAAATTGGTTTTGCATTGTTAAACTTTTCCAAAACAAGTTTTCCAAAGTAACACCATTTTATTAATGCTTGAATTCTCTAAGAATTCTAGGAATGATATTTCATTGTGTTTCTGTTTTTACAGGCAAATATGCTTAAATAATAAAAGTATTCAAGCAGTAGGAAAAAGAATACATTTAGTGTTATATAACGGAGAGCAAGCAGATCCAAATCTGAGGCTGTGTGGCTTCTGGACTCATGTGTCACTAATCAACATTTTAATCTCGTTGAAGCTCTCTAAGCTTACTTTCTCACCTTCATGATGAAGATAATGATATTTTCCCTACAAGTTGTATGGTTGTTGCGGTAGACATAGTGGATCTGGCAAAAGCAAGGATGATGAAAAAAAAAAAAAAACTCAGTGCCATCAAGTCAGCTCTGACTCATAGCAGCCCTTCTTTGGGTTTCCAAGGCAGTATCTCTGCAGAAGCAGATTGCCCAGTCTTCCTTCCATGAGTTTGAGCTGCCAGCCTTCTAATTAGCAGTCACCAGAGCTCCTATTGATAGTTAAGGCAACTAAAAATTTTATTTGAATATATACTGTGGAACATTTTAATTTGCCATTTTTAAACTAGAGAACCAGATCTTTTGGAATTAAAGGAGATTATCTTCATGTTTACAAAACCACCCTGCTAATTATTTTGAATATATCACATTAATTAACAGTACATCTGCTCACCTCAGAATAGCTTTCAGAAAATTAGAAATTTGTTGGAGTTTTAAATGTAACATCAAGTTGCAGTTTATGTAGAGTTTTATATCCAAGTTGCTAATGTGATTTTGCTGGGTTACCTGAATTAAAGCCTGAACCACTCTAAAATTTTTCATTTCCCTCTCTTTTCAGATCATGTATCAGTTGGAGGACTTGGAGACAGCTTTTATGAGTATTTGCTAAAAGCATGGTTAATGTCTGACAAGACAGATGTAGAAGCTAAGAAGATGTATTTTGATGCCGTTCAGGTAAACCCAATATTTAACTCATCTGTGCCACTTAGTTCTAGCTTATAACTTGCATTTTAATCAAGTTTAGTGACATGATGGAATACTACATGAGTGGAATACCAAGCATTTCCAGTTAGATAGAGTTCAGTATCTGCTAACATCATTACAACAATAAGCATCATACTTAATGCATTTAGTTTCAATAAAAACACACCGCCATTGAGTCATTTCCAACTCATGAAGACTCCATAGGGTTTCCGAGGCTATTCATCTTCGTGGACTCAAACTGCCTCATCTTTCTCCTGCAGAGCCACTGGTGGGTTCAAACCACTGAACTTTGGGTTAGCAGCCCCACATCTTAACCACAGTGCCACCAGAGCTTCCTTTATTTCTAATAGAGCAGTAAAAAGTTTTTTACATGATTTAGACTTCAGTTAAGATTCACATATCTGAAAGAGAAGTATTCTTTTATAAATGTGAGTTTCCTGTTTAAAGCCACACTTTAAAGAAAAGAAAATCTTGAATTTGTATTCTGAAAATTAATTAAATTACCCAGGAATGGAAACAGTACTAATGGGTGCCCATGTGAAATAAACTTGTTTCCAGGGATATATGGGCATGAGGTTATACATATGTGTTACTGTTTCTAAGAAAATTCACATATAAATACCTGAATTAACCCAATATTTAAGGATAGGTTATTAATATTTTTAAAAGATCTCTTATGGAAAAGGGAGAGCTCTGTTGGCATAGTGCCTGAGGCATTTGACTGCTAACCAGAAGGCTGGTGGTCAAACCCACAAGCCACTCCTCAGAAAGAAGGTTGGGCAATCTACTTCTGTAGTGATACTGCCTCAGAAACCCATGGACGGGTTGCTATGAGTCAGGTCTGACTCAACAGCAGTGTGTTTGGTTTTTTGTTTGTCTGGAAAAGGAAGGGCGATCTGGTGGTGTAGTGGTTAAGGCATTTGGCTGCTAACCAAAAGGTCAATGGTTCGAACCTACCAGCTGCTCCATAGAAAAAAGATGAGGCAGTCTGTGTCCATAAAGATTTACAAGCTTGGAAACCCAATGCAGGTCGCTATGAGTTAGAATCAACTTGATGACGGTGAGTTTGTTTTGTTTTGTTTTGTTTTTTTAATGAAAAGGAATGAGTGAAAGTAAATATTTGTTGAATTGCCTGATGTGTGCTAAGTAGTATGTTAGGTAGATACTTTAAATGAGGTTTTTTTCTCACAATATTTGAAACAAACAAACAGAAAAATCCATTGCTGTGGCATCTGTGGGCCCTATGAGATAGAGTGGAACTGTCCCACAAGGCTGTAATCTTTACAGAAGCAGACTGCTACATCTTTCACCTATGGAGCAACTAGTGATTCCAAACCACCAGCGTTTAAGACAGCAGCACTAAACCATTGTGCCACCAGGGCTCCTTATATTCACCCAGTTCTACAAATATGAGAACTAAACTTTAGATCGACTGAGTGTGGGACCAAAATTAAAATTTCTCTGTACTAATACCTACCCCCTTTACTTTACCACTATGGATTCATTTATGAATAAGAATTTCTGTAAAACTCAAAAACTCACTGCTGCTGAGTCAGATCCAACTCATAGCCACCCCTCCTTGGTTCTGAGGCGGTACTACTGGGGAAGTAGATTGCTCAACCTTCTTAAGGAGTGGCTGGTGGGTTTGAACCGCCAGCCTTCTGGTTAGCAGTCAAGTGCCTTAGGCACTATGCTACCAGAGCTCCTATTTCACATATAAAAACCATAAACATTTAAATGTAGTATAGAAATTCATAAACATTTCAATGTAGTGTAGAAATTCTTAGGAGCTCTGGTGGTGTAGTGCCTAAGGCACTTGACTGCTAACCAGAAGGCTGGCGGTTCTAACCCACCAGCCACTCCTCAGAAAAGGGTTGGGCACATTAGTTAAAACATTGACCTGCATTAATAAGGCAAGTGGTGAATCTCAAAAACAAACTAAGGATTGTCTGTGTGACCCCTTCTAGGCTTATTTTTCTTTGTTCCTGAATAAGGTTCCAGGTTTTGACCTAGAGAGTTCTTCTCTATATATTATGTTTTTCATTATGTCGTCTTCTAATTACCATACTGGCAGTCATTTTAATCATTCTAATTTTAAAGTAGCCCCTAAAAAGCTTAAAATTCCAGGAAAGGTGGCTTTGAAATATTCTTTTATATTTTTCCCCCAGTTTCTAGAACTATACCCACAAAGCTTTTAATGTATTGTACTTAGACAAATCATTGACAGGAATATCCATTAAGAACAAATGAAGTCAAAGTGTTTCCTGTTTCTCTTAACAGTAAAAACAGTTTCAATCCATTATATGCTTGCAACTTAGAAAGCAAAGCTTGAACAACTGAACTTCTGAATTGAGAAGTAGCAGTCTTACACAACAAAGTTTCTTTTTGCTAAATTGTACTTTAAATGATTACCATTATCTAAACAGAATGTGGGGAACAAATCAAGTTCTGTTCCTTGTTCTGATGTGGGTGAACCTTGAAAACATTATGCTAAGTGAAATAAGCCAGACACAAAAGGACAAATATTGTATGATTCCATTTATATGGAATATCCAGAACAGGCAAATGCAGAGACAGAAAGTAAATTGGTGGTTACTATGACCACGGGGTGACACTTGCCTGCTAACCAGACGGCTGGCGGTTCAAACCCACCAGCCACTCCTCGGAAGGAAGGTTGGGCAATCCTACTTCCGTAGTGATACTGCCTCGGAAACCCAAGGAGGGGTCGCTATGAGTCGGGCCGGCTCGACGGCACATAGCAACAACAACAACAACAATGACCACGGGGAGGAGAAATGAGGAGTAATTGCTTAATAGGTACAGTTTCTGTTTGAGGTCAGGGGAAAGTTTTGGAAAGTAATGAGTGTAAAATGAGTGTAAAAATGATTTAAATTTTACATTATACACAATTTACCATATTTAAAGAAAGATAAGAACATCATTATCTAAGGATCATTTACATTATCACCCTGGGTAGTTGAATTATTAGAGGTAAGATTATTCTGTTTTAGGATCAAAATGGTGGAAAGCATTTAATCCCAAAGTGGTATATTTTCTTTGGTTCTTTTAATAACAAAATACTTTAAGCTTTAAACTGGCTTTTATTGCCCTATGTGGAGACTACACTAAGAATCCAAAGTAATAGATACTCACCCTGCCAGTTGTCCATTGGAGTGCCAGTTGTCCACCTGGGCAGGTGGCATATCAGACACTTAAGATTCTAAGAGCCTTATCAAAATATTTTTTAAAAATGTAAAATAACAAAATATGTAGTATTCTTATTTCCTAATCATTTCTCTGTAGACTTAACACAAAGTTTTTGTAGTGTCACTGTGTTAGACTGGGTTCTCTAGAGAAGCAAAACCAGTAAAGCTTATATAGAGAGAGAGAGAGAGAGAGAGAGAGAAAAGAGAAATTTATCTTAGGAAAATGGCTCACACACTTATAGAAGCTGGCAAGTCCAAAGTTCTTGATCAAACGTCAAGCTGGAGGCTTTTCCCAACTCACACAGCTGCAGGGGCTGAGGAGCTCAAGGTTGGCAAGCAGTATAATGGCTGTTGACTCCAACGAATGATGAATCCAAGATCTTCAGGCTGAATGGTGGATTGTTCACTCACGGACAGTTGTAGGCAGCACAACAGAATCCTGATCCACAGAAGAGTGTCTCTATTCCCAGGATGTCCATAAATATACTGGAAGCAGGCCACACCCCTAGGGAAACTCCCTTTCAACGGATTGGCTGCTCAAAACATATACATCTGATTCCATCATTGGAACAACCCATATCACAACTGCTTAAACCACACAGAATTGTGGTACAGCCAGGTTCACAAATAGCTCCAACTATCACAATTACTAATAACCACTATTTTTTCCTCCTTTATATTTACTTGCTTCTCACTGCCGCACAAAGCCATGGCTTTGAAGGTCTTGGAATTTCATTGTCATTTATTTTTAGAGGTAGCAATTTGCTCAGAATCATGCCAGAAATAATATAGTATTTTATTCAGCATCCATAACAAGGTGTAATAATGTTTCTCTAATCCATGCTCAAAAGCTATTACTCTTGCCATGTAGAAAGAATAATTTCTTGGTTGATGAACAAGTATCTACTTAAAGGACTTTATTGTAGTTTGTGCTATAAGAAGTGCAAATAGCTAAAAATGTTCTATTACATTAAATAAGAATTAAATACTAATGTGATAGCTTGACCATCAATAAAATTAGTTTAACCCCATTAATGAGCACAGAGCTCTGGTAGTGTAGTGCCTAAGGCACTTGACTGCTAACCAGAAGGCCAGCGGTTCAAACCCACCACCCACTCCTCGGAAGGAAGATGGGGCAATGTACTTCCATAGTGATACTGCCTCAGAAACCCAAGGAGGGGTCGCTATGAGTCGGGGCCAACTCAATGGCACATAACTACAACAACAAGTATGTTTATCTAATTCTTACAATCTTGGTATTGTTTGTTTATTTCCGATAGAGGTAGGAAAGGTCTTATCTGCCTGTGTATTCATTTTCTCTATCAGGACATTTTTTCTGTGTCTTTTATTCTGAAATATGCTTCAAAAACCCTCCCTTTTTGGATAGTAGTATAACAGCTATAGATAGAGTCATAGCCCTTTTCTTTCTATGAAGTAATTGAGGGGAAAAATAGTTCTTGTTAAAGTGGAAATTAGTAATTCTAAACACCTTTCATGTTTTAAAATAGGTTTTATTTTCTCTATCTTGTTTAAAATATTAACAGTCCTAGGATAGAAACGAGATGTTTTATAAATTATTTTTGTAAACATTACCATTTTAAAGGATAGATTTGATGCATTGAACACCAATGACTGAAAGCCAGATGAATTATGGGAAAATATCAAGAACATTATCCATGAAGAAAGCAAGAGATCACTAAAAAGACAAGAAA